TGTACCTGAGGTTAACATGTAAGGCTTTAGATTTATAAGCCATAAACTATTTGGATGTTTCCCTATTCAATTTCACTTAATGTTAGATTAAAGTTCAATTGTAGGCATATGTTACCACATAGTTCATTCTCTTATTTGAGAAATTGCAGCTCATTTTGTAGGCAAGATTCTGAAGTCTTGGAGATAAAGAAAAGATTAAGGAAGAGAAAGAAGAGGTTAGTAACTGAAACAGATTATGGATTCTATCATGTCATTATTTGGAGGCAAGTCCAAAAATATAGATTCCAAGATGAAAATTTCTCCCTTTGATTTTTGGTCCAGGATGTCTAATATTTTGAAATGTATGTTCTTTCTCTATGTGCAGGGATATTGACTTAGAAATTGTTGCCAATGGAAATAGTATTGATAATATACCTGAGGATGAGAGGTACTAATCTATTTACCTAAGCTAAAATGCTACTTGATAATATTCTTTTTAAATTACATATTTTATGTTTTTAATTATGTTGTTCTATTATTTGAATGTACACATCTCAATTGTATGTATAAAAAATTATCATGTCTGGCAGGCAAGATTCTTCAAGTGCAAAGAAGAAAATAAAATTAAAGGAGAGGAAGGGGGAGAGGTTAGTTATATTACCACTGGAAAATTTTTTTTTCCTACCAGCAATTCAATATTGTGATGAATTGTTAGTCAGATAATTAATAAATAAACATTGAGCTTTAAAAAGAAGTAGAAGCTTTATTTGATGATTGGTGAGACATTTTAACTCTTCAAATTCTTTTCCTTTCTGAACCTTCTCATAATCTTGAAATCTTTTGATGTGTTCATCCGCACGATGATCAACAACTAACTGCTGAGTATCTTTGCTGCTTTGAAAGGCAATTTATGAATTCTTCAGTCTCTGAAGAGAAGGGCCATCTCAAGGGAAAAGATGGACTTGCTTTGATCCTTGACAATGCCATTGAGGGTAATGTTGCCTCACGAGGGATTGTTTGTGCCATACGTGCTTCTTCTGGATATAATGTTAAATCTCGGGAAGCTAAAGTAAGAACTTTCAGGAATAGTTTTTTTTTTTTTTTTAATTTAATGGTTTTGTTTCCAGGTTAATTGTTTCACTTGGTTAAGGACTTTCATTTTCAATAAGCAAATTGACAGTTTATTTCATAATTATCATGCTGCATTTCTTAATATAACAGCAAACTGAAGCTGATCTGTTATGAACATGATAACTATATCAAAACTTTTTAGATTTCAAAATTAAGAATTTAGGATTCTGTTAAGAATTTGAGCTTCTTTAATTAATGGTCACCTGTTAAATTAACTTCAGTATTTGATTCCATATTGCTAAATATTTGAAAGAAGTGCCTGTTGTGCAAAACAGTTATATGCTAAGGTTGTATGGAAACTAAAATTTGAATTAAAAGTGATTGTTACTTGGTTTGTCAAAACTTGAAATGAATTGCTTAATTGTCAACTTGATAGTTAAATTCTGCATAATTAGAGTCTAGAAAGATGTAAATAATTATTTATTACGATAAGGAATATTTTTTTCAGTTTTTGTATAAAGATGAACCATAAGGGGGGATTGGGGGCAATGTCCCGAAAGCATTTGATATGGTTTTTAGTCAACATTTTAGTATAGCGCTTCATTCCCATCTTTTACTCTATTAAGATTCTTCTTTTTGCTTATTGTAATCTATTAATTTTTTTAACATTCTAACCTAGTAGAGCACATTTAAGTCTCAGGTGGTTGCAAAGGAGGATAGGAGTGGGAAAAATAAACTACGCTCAAAGGTGAGGGCAAAGCCTGGTTCTTTCTAATTGAAAAATGTGCATCTTTTTATATTTTATTTCTTTATAGAACCTGGTGACTAAATTCGAAAACTTAGTCTGTTTATTATGAACATCATAAACTTGCACGGTTAATTATTATGATCAACTTTTTTGTGTCTTTAAGTCTAGCTTTTTCCTAACAGAACTCTTCTATTATCTTGCTTCCTGTTTCCTTTTCAAACATGATTATGGATTTCCCTTTGTTTTCTTCTGTGTGTACCGGTTTCCAAATACATTTTTGTTATACAGAAAATGATCTGTTAATTGTTCCTTATAATGATCAGATATCAATTTGTTAAGTTTTAATTGGAGATGTGCATGATAAAAGCCTGAGTTGTATATGTATATACTCTATTATTTTCTAATTTATAATTGAGGAATTGTAAAGTTATAAGATTACTAAACTTTTCCTGTTGAGAAGCCTGGCTTATTTATTGATTCTTCTTTTATAAGTTTTGAGGTTTTAATCTTAATTTGTAAGTTCTACTGTTCTTTGGTAGGGTGAAAATAAAATCAAACTTACTTGCCATCAGTGCTGCAAGTGGAGAAGCAACTTTGTGTGCTGCAATAAGTGTCAGCTTAAAGCCTATTGCCATTCTTGCATAAAGAAGTGGTACTTGAAATTTCTTATTACATTTTTTTGAATAGATAAAATTGTACATCTATTTCTCTTGCATGTTTTTCTTTTGTTAAATGGCCTTAGTGATCTGTCATGATTTCTGGGGTAACAAATAAATCTTTGCAAATAAGTATTCAAGACACTTTCTGACTCATAGAGAAGAAGAAAAAATTGACTTTTCTGTGCAAGATGCCACTGTCAAACAATCTAATTTGTCGCTTAAAATTACTTCACTTTAATAATTATCAATTTTTATACTCTTCACTTTTGTTTATATTCTGTTTACCGTCAATCATTTGATTGTTTATGTACTAAATTTGTTTAAGAGTAGGTATTCACGACAATCACAGCAAGAATTGATGGATGCTTGCCCACATTGCTGTGGTTGGTGCAATTGTAGATCTTGTCTTCTCACAGGCAAATTATTCAAGGTTGGTGTGGGTAGCTTTGATAGCCTGTCTCTTGATCTTATGTATTCTCTTGTTTTGTATTTTGACAAGTGGATTCTTGTTTCTCAATTTAGGACACCAAAACTTTGGGAGTGCCTTTAAATAAAGAGGAAAAGGTTCAGCATTTTAAGTATCTTATATCCTTTCTGTTCCCTATTCTGGAAGAATTTGACAAGAACCAAAGGAAGGAAAAGAAGCTAGAGGCAAATAATCTAGGTCTGAATTCAGTTCTCTTGTTTTTTGATGATGACTTGAAACTGCTTATATTTGTTCTTAAGGTCTTCATGGTTCTTTTGTATAATAGTAAGGCTACTTCTTTACAGACATCACAGCCCACTAAAAGGTAGTAGTGATTAGGACGGTGCTAGGAGGAGGTGTTATTTAAAGTCAGGTTCTTGTCAAATTTTGCTGCAGGCCAATGGGCTTCTTAGTGATTTCCTATTTCAGTTACTCTTTCATGCATCTACATGCTAAAGGATTTCTAGTAATTTGTTATGTCAATGTGTTTGTAATAGTATTTCTGACATGTTCGGTAACTCAGTTTGGAAATTAGAGAAGATGTATACATGAATGTGTTAAAAGATATGTTTTGAGTTTTGTTTTATTTAATATCTATTATGGTCTATGCTAATGTTTATTTTTTATTGAAATGTTAATATTTTTGTACAGGGTTAACAAGGTCAGAGGTTGTAGTTGGTCAGGCTGTGTGCGAGGAAGATGAATCTCCATATTGGTAGGCTCTATTCTAGAACATTCTTTAGTGTTTTCCTTCCCCTCTTTTTTATTGTTAATGAATTCTGTCAAATTTCAACTCATCAATTGTTCCATGGCAGCAACAATTGTTGCACCACTATTGTTGATTTACATAGGAGCTGCCCCAGATGCAATTATGATCTATGCCTTACATGCTGCAAGGAGATTCGAGATGGATGCTTGCGAGGTTGGGATGTGATTGATGAGAAATCTGAGATAAGCTCTGATATACGTGAGGAGCTAATTTCTAAGTGGAAGGCAAAGGAAAATGGTGATATCCCCTGTCCAGTTGAGGATTTAAAAGGTTGTGGCTACCAACGATTGGAGTTGAAACGTATGTATCCAGCTGGCTGGGTTTCACAACTGAAGTCGAAAATCAAAGGGTTAGTTAAAGTCAAAAAACTTTTGAATTCACATGGTCCTTCCAGTAGATGTTGCTCATGTTTGGAATTTCAAGGTAATGTTGATCCTGAGCTGCGAACATTAAGGAAGGCATCATCTAGAAATTTATGCTCTGATGATAACTATCTGTACTGTCCTTCTGCCAATGACATTAAGCATGGTGAACTGAGGCATTTTCAAAAACATTTGATGAAAGGAGAGCCTGTTATAGTTAGAAATGTTGTTAATTTAACTTCTTGCCTGAGTTGGGATCCAAGGGTATTATGGCGTGCTTTCCCCGAGAGTGAGCAGGGTGCCCCTGACACAAAAGTGGCAGCTGTTGATTGCCGTGACTGGTGTGAGGCAAGTCTTAAGTTCTTATTTGATTTTCTGATATCCTATCTTTTTTGTTTTCAAATCCATTGGAAAGATTTAACAGAATGAGCTCTATTTGTTTTTTGTTTGACTGCTGTCATTTCAACCTTATCAGATATGTGAACCAATTATTTTTTTCTTTTTTAATTTAATGTACAGGTTGATAAAAGCAATGATGAATTCTTTAAGGGATATTTTAAGTGTCCTATGAATGATGAATCTCCACCGCAGCTGCTTAAAGTAAAAGACTGGCCATGTTACACTTTATTTGAAAGGCTCCTTCCACGTCATTTTGCAGAATTTATCTGTGCCTTGCCATTTTCAGAATATACAAATCCGCACTGCGGTATTCTGAATATTTCGACGAACTTTCCCCAGAATAGTCTAAAACCTAACCTTGGGCCAAAATCTTTTATAGCCTATGGACATGATGAAGAACTAGGACATGGAGATTCTGTAACATTTCTTCACTGTGACATGTCAGATGCGGTATGCAAATTCAGTTCATTTGATGCAACTTGCTAATATATTCTTGAAAAGATATTCTTCTGAGTTATTCTAAACACAAATAGCTAACCATGCATTTTTTTTGTTACCTTGACTTTGTTCTCTTTGGCTCTTCCCTTCTCCTTGGTGTGGTGTGAGCAACAATGAAATCATTTTATCTTTTTCATTGGGAATTGGTTACATCAGGATTTAGTCTCTGGATTTTTTTCTTGTTGATTTTGACAAAGTTTATTTTGATTTCTGTCCCCTTTCAATTCTCTATAATCAGTAAGAACTCCAATTTTGTTTGCTTAATTGGTGTCATGGATGGCATGTTGTTTGTAATAAAGTTTTTAATTTTAGCATCAAGCTGGTGGTAAATTTTTGGCTATCTATATGTTTACTATCAAATGTTTCAGGTGAATCTTCTGGTGCACACTTCTGAATTAACAAATGTTACCTGTGGTGCAATGGATGCATTGGGTGCGGCTGTTTGGGATATTTTTCGTAGGCAAGATGTTCCCAAACTAAATGAATATCTGACAAAACACCATGCAGAGTTCACACGTATATTGGGGGCTCCGGTAGATCAGGTATCAATTAAAAATTTTTTATTCACTTATTCCATAGTTAGATATTGAAGGGGAGGCATAAGGTTGATCCATGCATCATGCACGGATGCCATGAAGAAATCACTTCTTTCTTGGTTTCTATACACTCTGATTTTGCGTGTAAAGCTTAATTAGTGATTTAGTTTTAATTCAAATTTGTGGGTTGCTTGATCTGTATTTTTTGGTTTGATATTATTCATACTTCTGTATCTTTGATTCACTCAGCCACTACTGTGGATCATGTGCAAGTTGTTTCATTTATGTTTTGCTGTAATAATGATGTCTGAGTAATTTGATGCTTCAGGTTGTGCATCCAATCCATGATCAGACTTTCTACCTGACTGTGGACCATAAAAGAAAACTTAAGGAAGAGTTTGGTCAGTTCCTTATTTGATTTTTGGTTTGTTGGCCTCAATTTAAAATTTTATATTTAGCAGTCATAACAAATGTTGATATTTTTTCGACAGGAATTGAACCTTGGACATTTGTGCAAAGGTTTGGAGAGGCAGTATTTATACCTGCTGGTTGTCCTCATCAAGTTAGGAATATCAAGGCATGTAAATATATATTTGTTTTGTAGTTTATAATTGAAGTTTGAAGATGGAAACTGATACGTGATGAGTGTTTTGCATTTTCATTTCAATAATCAATTAGATTACTTTGCTTTCAGTCACAATTTTGTCTACATGTTATTCAGTCTTGTGTCAAGGTGGCTCTTGACTTTGTCTCCCCTGAAAATATTGGTGAGTGCATCCGTTTGACTGAAGAATTTCGGCTTCTTCCACATGGTCATAGGGCAAAAGAGGATAAATTACAGGTAAACCTTGTGAGAACTATGTATAGATTTTTTTTTTTGATCTTGTTAGTATTGCGTATTGTTTTATTATATTGGCCTTTGTCTTATATGTAGGTGAAGAAAATGATACTACATGCATTGGAATATGCTGCTGAGGAGTTGGAAAAGCTTAGGCGATGAGGAACAAGGAGGCATATATTATCGCCCTTTTGCTGGATGGTAGAATCAGAATTTTTGACTTCTAACACATTTCTGTGAGTAGGGCGAAATATCAAACCGTGCAAACGTGTAGTTGATTGTTTTGAGATGTTTTGGCCTCAAACGAATTTTGTAATGCGTGTGTTATGATTATCACACTCTTTGATAAAGATTTTTCCATTTTGGGATGCAGAATTAAAGTTGCAATTGATACTTGTCTGTTCTAATTTGAGTCTATTGCTGTTTCCTGCTTATAACTTTCCTATTAACAATCTTTATTGATGGGCCAGGAAAATTAGTTCTCTTTTTTGGCAGTAAGTTGTAAAATACAGCGTTGCTGTCTGTGCTGTTAACAGGTGAGCACAGGGGGGGTGTTTGTATGATGAATATGTGGATGTCTACGCAACCTCTTATTGCTAATGTTTAAATGCATCAGAAGCAACCATTTAGGCAGAGAGTTTTAATCGAATTTTTACTATTTGCCAGAATTATGCAAAATGGTCATCTGAAACCACTTAAAATTTTTGTATTGTTACTGTCGTCACTTGTATATGGATAAGAGTACATCATTGTTACTTGTGCTAGGTAAGTTTAATGTCTAACACAGGTCTTCTAATGGGTTAAGATGTGTGTTATTGTAGCTAGGCAAGGTAATTCCCTACGGAATTAGGCAGTTAAAAAAAATTCATGAAAATGAATTGTTCAGTTCACCACTTGGAATTGGGAGCAACATTCTGTAGATGCATATATTTGTGTGTGTGTGTGTGTGTTTGTATGTAAGGAGGATGGTGTTATACAGTTTTAATTTAGAAAAAAAAAAAAAGAATTTTAACTTTAAACAATTAAATATTATTTAATTTAATTAAAATTAAATTTAAATTGCCTCTTTAAGGTCAAATAACATGGGAGTTTAATTTTTTAGGCATAGTTGCGATGTGTTTTATTGTTATTTTATATTTTTTTTTATTAAAAGTTTAGAATAAGAGAGATAATTAATGAGTTGCATGGTCCTGAAATATTTTTAGTAATAATCTATCTCAATGGTTACTCTTTTATTTTTTAATTTTCTTTCATTTCTTAATTACAAGTACAATTATTGTAATTTATGAGTTGAAAAAAATTAAAGAATAGAGAAATTAATTAAAATCATATTTCAAAATTAAATTCTAAATGAAAATAGGAAAGACATCAATTACTAAACTACTAATATAATTTTTTTTTATGAGAGCTAATACAAAATATTTTAAACTAGT